GCTGTAATTCAACAAATAATTTGTTGCCATGATTATATTTGTTTGAGAAATGTTTGGGTGGATCCCCTGCTTCAGAACAAGTGCCTCGTAAATGAATTCATGCGCAAAATAAGCAGAAAGTAATTCAAAACTGTTTTCAGGCCCCGTTCCCAATTGGCCACGAGGCGAGCGTATATATAAAAATAAATACTTTTTTTTTGCGAATCTGCAGACTCCCATCATTCATCGGCACTGAAATGAAAATATTTTAGAAGGTAAATCATACCACTTTGCAAAGCGAAAGCTGTTGTAAATTCATATTAGGTTTTTCGTCTCCTCGACGGAGTGTTGCATAGAATGTGAGAAAATTATTTAAAGTTATTCCAATCGCTAATGGTAAAATAGGAAAATAGGAAAATAGGAAAATAGGAAAGAAAAAAATATGTGGAGCTTACTGACCAGCTATAATCGACTTTTGCTGCCACGTGGATAGGATATTTCCCTAGGACCTTCATCATCATGACCACTACGGAAGGCATCCCTATATTTTTCTCAGCTGTTCTACATAACACGGATCGAGAACTTTCTGTCGATAGCATTGAAGAAGGAAAGGAAAAGAAATACGGTTTGGAAGGGAAAAAAAGAAAAGTTGATATTTTTTTCTTCCTCAACAAGGATTAAGCAAATTGGCCAAAGGTCCGTTTCAAAAATATATTCCCCCCCCCCCCCCGAAGATCGCGAAAACTCCTCATTATCAACCTAGCCGGATGGAATCCAAGGGCCACGGCTGAGCGAGAAACTGCCAAAAGCAATTGGCCAAGGTTTTTAACATCTAATATCTGCAATTCTTTATTTGAAAATATTGTTTTGTTTTTTTGACTAAGCTTCCGTGAAACTAGAGCGAAAGTTTTTTGTAGCGCGTTGTGGCCCAAGCCACAGGAGAGGTTTTATTATTTTTCAGTTTCTTTCATCTTCCATTTGTGTCAGGATTTTTCATGTCACGCCCTCTGAATCGACAGCGTAGAAAGACGCAAGGCCGAGATCACGCCTCCTTGATGAAATCATTCCCAGGCTATCTTTTTTTGTCCTTAACCATTTACCAACGCCATTTATTTTATCAAATATTAGCTCGTTCCTTTGCGCAGTTCGGTTCAGTTACCAGCATTAGACTAAGTAATTTATAAGGGTGTACTGTACGCAAAAAGCATTGATTTTCGATTCTCAACGGCGCTTCCGTCAGACCTGCCCATGAGTTTCGAGTGTTGCATGCTGCTTGTCAAACTCGATCTCCTCTCTGACCGGGAGATTTTTTCTTTCAATAAATGTTTGTAAGAACAATCTTCTATGCTGAGATCCCAACCAACAGCTTTAACTGAGGAGTTCTCTGGTTTATGTAAAATTTAAAAAAATAAACCAGAGAAAAAATGTAAAAAAAAAGAAGCATACTTTGAGAAATACGTACCTTTTCCACATCCACAATAAAATAACAAAACAACCGGACACCAACCCATTATCTAGCGAGAGCATGAAGAAAATGGCTTTTCCCTTGCTACAAACACACCTAAACCACCTCAACATCACTCTAACTTAACACAAGTGTCTAAGAGAAGCGCAAGTGCATGGATATAGGAAAATGTGGCAAGGGCAATTACACATTTTTTTCAGAGAACTTCTCAATTATAGCAGTAGCCACGTTCGCATGAACTGACGTCCCTTTTTCTCAGAAAAAACCCTCTTTAGGGAGCGAGTACGACGAAATCATGGCTTCCCAAGCCCAAGAAAACGGATTACCTCTTCAGTCAACAGGAGAGGATTTCACGCGATGGGCTTGGTCGTCGGAAGTTCTCCACGAGCGAAAAAGAAAATGATATCCGGTGCGATAGCAGAAAAGGATTTCGAGAGAATGAGATAGGGGAAATTGCCCACTCCTTCCTCTCATCTTCCTCCCTCTCTCTAGCATCCCTCGTATACACACATACTCACTCACTCACTCTCACTCACACTCACGCGCGCACACACACACACTCTCTCTCTCTCTCTCTCTAACACAAACGAAAGACCTCCTCCGAAATGCGTCATCAGAGCAGAGGCACTGGCAAGGGCGATTCCCTCCAAAGCACTCACTCCCTCCTTCTCCCCTTTGAACAAGTTCTTTCAACCCCATACCCCTCTCTTCCATATCTCTCTCTCTCTCTCTCTCTCTTTTTCTCTATGACCACGTTTTCATTCCTTTCCCTTCCCGTCCTTCTGGAAGACCATTCGACGTAAGAAAGAACAGTGTTGTACTCAAAAGGAAATTACGGTTAATCAAGCCATGAACGTATCACGTATCACAGACACTACTAAAGTGCACATCCGACCAACAGGATCAGTGGAAAAGATTCCAGCATGAGGAACGTAAATCAATTAAGGGAGGACTCTAATAAATAAGGCGCAGGGAGGACTCAACGACAATGAATCCAATACGGAAGGAGGCGAAGGTGGGGAAAAACTGGCAAAACAAACAAAAAAAGCAGAGGGGGAAGTATGAGGGTGCTGGAAAGGAAATGAATGAGATGGAGATGCGATGAGATGAGGGGATTGGGCATCCCTGGAATCACACGCCAAGTGCGCAGTTGGAGGTTGGAGGCGGAGGGACCAAAAAAAAAGACCCCTGCCCCCCTTTGCCTTTCCCTTCCCCCTCGAAATACAGATGAAGACAAACGCCCACAAAAAATATCCCGTCCCTTCCCTCTCTCTCGTGCTTGACCCTACATGAGGATATCGATTGAGACAGAGACTGAGCTGCTGCATCATCTGTGTGGAGAATACTGAAAGGCTGAAAGGATGACGACCACTGAGTCTTAATGCTGGCCGGCAGAGGGTGAAACGCTTATTGGTTCAAATGAGAAAGAGAACCAGCAACATTGTTTTCCCCATCCCCTTTCCACCTGCGTGTTTATTTCCACTCTTGGCTCTTCACATCATAAATCCCCCTCACTAAGTATTTATTCTTCCCAGTAAGCTGATTCTGCCTGAGTAACGTAATCAGTTTCCTCTTCAAACTGAATTCGTCCCTCATACATATTGGTCAGGTCTAAAAACTGAGTCGAAACGACAAAACGTTTTTCCCAATACAGGAATATTTCACTTGACCACATTACTCCGGTTTTAGCTTCAATCCGATTCCCTTTAGATTTCGAACAACTCAAATTTCACGGAAATTAATAATTTCTTTCACCATTAAGGCATTACTTCACCATTCCGTCAAATAATTCCCCAATATCCAATTGATTTTACGAATGCTCATTGTTTCCTATCCCACTTAATGCCACACGGTTTCGCTTCAAGTATAAATTCATTTCTCCTGACCTTCGTTCCGTGATGCGGTCCTGAGTAAAAACAGGAAACAATCCCTAGTCACCATGAGAGTAATCCTATTTCGTACCGAGTACACAAGGAAGGGGAGCATGAAAGCACATGAGCACAATATGGGAATAATTCACTTTCCTAGGCCTTGAAAATTCTTACAAATTGGACATATGAGGTGCGGCAATGGAGAGGTGGGAATGCCCAAAAGGAGCCGCGCCCAAAAGCTTCACGCCTTTCCTCTCAGACCAGTTACTTCTTGCATTCCAACACGCTATTCTTCTTGTCTCTAGGAATTGCTCTTGATTCAAAACGTTCACTATACCGAAGAAACTTCCTGAAGACTAAATGCCCATATCTACAGATGGGGTAGCATAGGAACCCCAGTTCAGAAAGCTGGCAGGAATGTTTCTCTCATGCAGGTTGGGTTAAAAGTCATGACTACCTGCTGATACCATTTAAATGCTAGAATGGATTGCGATCAAATTTATACCATTCGAAAGAAAAGAGAATCGTCTATCTAAAAATAATTTTTCGTATTGTCTTGTCGCTCTAGAGCAGTAAATTCAATTCCGTAGTTTCGGTGTTCTCTAAACGTGTCCACATTTGGAAACATGCCATCGTGCTGCCACTTTGGTTCAAATTCTAAGAAATTAGGGGGGAAGGACACAGAAACGACTTACCATCCGTATACGTGCAGCAAATAATCAGCTTTATTCCTAATGTAAACAGAATCCAACGAGAAACGCTCGACAATTCAAGAAAATTTTAAACTAAGAAACTCTCAGTTGCGAGTCGATCGTCCGTATCAATTCGAATATTGACACGATGGGAAGAGTAGGGACGTACAAGAAAATCGTCGCTTTGATGAAAATCTCATATTGATCTGCATAAATCAATCTCTTTGAAAACGAACGCAGCTCGTAGGGCATAGACAATACCTCATAATACCTCAGCATCAGTAGAATGAATGTAGCGGATCTCAAGCTTGTAACTTGGAAGTAATGTTCTTATCTACCATGAAGTCAAGATAATAAAGGCTTATAGAGTGAATTTTCTTGGCTTTTTACTCTAAGCTGCATTGCAATCCTAAAATTCGGTCTTGACTAATCAAAAGGTGGGCAGGACTTTTGACTCACTTTGAACAAACTTGGTTTTGTTCGGAATGCCGCTCATATTCATTCCAATAAGTCCGGATTTTCCCCCCATTACTTATTCTTGTTTTCAAATAGTTTTTTCTTTCATCTCCTGGGTTTTCGTGGGAACGTCAGTAATCTGTCAATAGGAAACTTAGGACACTGTGACTGTCCTTCGGGGGCTATACGTTATTATTTTCAAAATGTTAGGTCTTCATGACGTTTATATTAATATTCACAATGACATCAAAACTCTCGGGACAGCTTATTAGGTCTTTTTCCCAATGTACGGACCAATGAAGGGACTTGCGATGGGACGCGATGGGATGCGAAGGGACTTGCACAAAAGTGCCTTTGTTGCACTTTTGTGCAACAAAGGCATCACGAGTACATTTGTAGTGCAATATAGAGTATCAGGAAATCACGCGAAAAAGGGTCACTTAGTCTTCAACGGATGCAGAAGACTACCGCCCCTTCTCCTAGCGCCCTCATTCATTCCTCCTAAATCTGCCGCGATCGTTTCGTTAAGATAATATGTTATGATCCAGCATCTTCCTTCAATTCAAAGATGTGGCTGAGCGAGCAGGGGAGAAGGAACAGAAACATCATCTCGTAAGAGATAGAACTCATAAGGTGGGGTAGCTTGATCCTTTTCAACATCTTATCAGGAAGAATATAAGTTCTGTCTGAATGGTGTATAAACAAAAACAACCACAGCTGCAGCCTCTCCCACATCCACCGCATATGGACAATTTTCTGGCTAAGGTTGGTTCACACCTAAGTCACTCGGAAGCAGCCAGGCTCACCATCATTTAACCTTTTCCAGTCCATAGTCAGGGGAGTCCTGACATTCGAATTGTATATAGTATGATATACAAGGTGTCCTAAAAGTCGCTTTACCGAGACGGTGAAGTGTTTAACTGTGATTATTTTCACTTGCGTTCAGATTTTTATTTGCAGGTGTGAAATGTGCATTGAACACGGACAACAATTTGAACAATTTCTGTAGCTCCTCATTGTCACTTTCTGCTGGTGGTTGGTTGTAAATAATGTAGTTTTTCCCCGGAACGTGAGTATAATCTCGGTAAATCGACTTTTAGGACACCCTGTATATATAACAAGATATAGGGGGGAGAGTGCCCAGAGCGGAGGTATTTAACTGTTTCAGTGCCATCAGGCCGATGGCCTTTAGGTGTCGCAGAACGCCATCCATTTGTTGGTGGCACTCAGTTAAATCGGACCTGGCGGGGGATAAAATTGTCAAGAAACATGGATCGGAAAAGATCCTTGCTTCCGGACATATATAAATAGTTGGCGTCTCCAGTAATCCCTGATCACACAATTTTACTGTTCAATCTTGTACCACTGCAAAGATAGTGCAGGACGGAAAAATCGAGGATTGGCTTGGAAAAAAAAAAAAGAAGAGAGCAGTAGGCTCACCTGCCAAGATGAGTTTGGTGGGGTGAGAGGCCAAGGTCCCCTCTTGATTCGACACCAAGCACTGATAAACACCCTCATCGCTCTCTCGCCTCGGTGTCTTCTTCCCCACCACCTGGATGATGAAGAATCATCATTTCACGCAGGTTCTTTCTTACCGTCCGGATCGAGATGAATTTCACACCATTAGATACCATTAGATTAGAACTACCTATGAAACACTAGTCATCAAATCGACCACATGGGTGTGTATAAACTGAAACCCTAACAGTGCAGCGCATTGAAGAGCAGAGGCATGCGTACAAAAGCGCAGGAAGTAATCACATTGAAAGGGTATGCCAACACAAGAAGGCCCAGAGAGATTGTATTAAAATGGTCCCTCAAGGGAACTCGTACCTGTATCCGATAAAGGATAAAACTATGGTTGTGAGAGCAGATGATCAACATGTCGACTACGGAGAATTCGGGGTCCCAGAGTTCTGTGGGAGGCATACGTACCAATAGCATTGGGAATATACGTGTACGTGCATCCCAGTCAGCAGCACGGAATGTGTTACAATTTTGTTACGAATCACACCATGAAGCGTTCTCACAATTATAAATGGGTAAATCAGCTTTAAAAAAAATTCTGGCGGTTCAGAAATGTAGAATGAGACAATTCACCAAGAAAATATGACGAGAATGTGTTTCTTCGTTCCCGTTATCATAGCACTGTATAATAATGTCATTAAATTTCCTCTTAAAAGCCCCATAATATGGCACTGAGGCAAGATCGCACGTTACCCTAAGACCCGGGGAACTTCTCACGATTGAAACTAACGGCCAAAACACCGGAAAAATATAGATACCCATCACAAGCATGGGCACAAAAACCTAAGCACGTTCCATACGGAAATGACAAAAAGACCCTCAACTTAAGCCCATATTTCACTCTCTTACTGGGGATATTTTCACAAAGTATACAATTTGAACCAGCAGTGTTAACCAACCTCACATATTTATGAAATTTTAGTTAAATTTGTTTTTGTTTGTTTTTTTTTATGCGAGATAACTTTATATCTGTCCGATACTGAAAATAGGAGTGAGAGTGGAGGAAGCAGAGTGAAAGGCTTCCGTTCTGTGGATGCAGATCATGAAGGCCACAATATACGTCTTCTCGGGAAAACTTTGGCACAATTAGCAGTTGGAATTTTAGGTCAGGCCAATATAATAAAAAAGAGTACATTAGCAGTTAAAAGAAGAATCGGGCTTTATTCTTTTGGCTAACCTTGATTGAATACGGTTTGGATAAGTAATTTTTCTTTGACTAATGTACCAATATCAATAATGTGATGAACGCTAGTCAGGAAGGTTTGTTTAAGAGATTATAGAAATTTTGGCCTTGTTTACTTCAGGTGACAGGAGGAGCTACCTCACTCAAATATATTTGACCCCTCCTCTCCCCCCTTTTTTAATTTGACTTGTAAAATACTTCGCCATCACCTTGCATAACGAATTTTTTCAGTATTTTCTATGTTCGTCGTGCAAAGTATGTGTTACGAAATAACTCCACTAAGAGTTCGAAATGCAAATATATATTTCTATCAATTATCGGTATCGGTTAATATTGGGTATAACCAACATATCGTCTCGAAACGATATTTAACGTGTCGATGACCGACATTGAAAGGACACCTGAATTATGCAAAGTGCTAAGCATGTATAGCGAGTGATGGATATTCACTCATCATTCTCAAAAGAAGATCGAACATGCCTGAATGTTTTTTTTTTTTCTTTTTGACTGGGACAGGCGGATGGTCGTGAAGCACTGAGGCCCCATCTCTTATAAGCAGTCAGTGTATCCACATGATTCTCCTGGTGTATGTACGTAGGGTTATAGTCTCTCTCTCACTCTCTCTCGTCTCCGGGCAAAGCTCGTAATGTCAATCCCCCCCTCCGGTATTTCGCACGTTCGCCGCGTTAACCCCCTCCAGGATGAATTAGGCGTAACGTTAGACGTGTAGGCTCATACGCAGGATGTGGGTCTCTCCCACATCCTCCCATACGAGGAGAGACGGGACGGGGCCACCAATGGATGAGCGTAGGGATCTGGAACCCCTTCCTAAAACGATCGGGAGTGCGTGGAAAACGTTGAACCGCCACGTGGTAACCTTACTCGTAGACCGTAGGCCTTCAGTAGTCAAGAGATTTACTTGGGCAAGCATGACGTACGGGGACACGCATGTAACTGTGTCCTGAGGAATGAGAGAGGGTGAAAAAGTATAGATTTCAGCCTGCCGCCGCCATCATTCCGAAATTCTCGGAAGCGGGATTTTCAAGTGTTACGCGCGGAAACGAATGGCTCCATTGAGCGATGAAGCAGGGATGATGAGAAGAGACTGCAGCGTACAAGATGCGTTTGGGGTAGGTTCGTATGTGCATGATGCGAGGGAGTTAGTGGAACTAAGATTGGGACAGAAACGAGACCGTGAACGAAAGTGGGCGTGGGGCACATGACGTACCATTTCCCGCATTCCATCATCAACCTGCCCACTTGTGCATGAGGGGTTGCGGAGTTGACATAATGAACTATGTCCCTACGGCCTACCCTCTTTGCCGTGCTCATGAACCTCCCTCTATTGCTCCTCGATGGCATTCTCTTATCCGAGGGTTGTGATCTTTTTTGTGCTGAAACTTTCAGAAGCATTATGTTTGAACATCATTGAGTCTTTTTTATTTCATCCCTATTGGAACCAGGTGGATTTCTTGTTTTTTTTTTGTGACTTTCACTAGTCGAAAATTGGAATAAGCAAGAATGTTTTCGAATGCAAATTATGTGTTCATATCTTCATTGGAATTAACTCTTAGGGCTTGAATGTCTGGAAATAGATATTGCTTTTTTTTTTCAATACTGGAATATCGGTATATCAGAATTGGCCAAAATCCAATATCGTTGCATCTCTAAGAATGGAGTTATATGGGCTCAAATATGGAGGTGAATCATTTCAGCTGAAAGTGAACATGAGTGCGAAATGCATAGTTATTTCGATAATATAAAAAAAAAAACAGGAGTACCATTGAGAGCCAAAATTGGAAGGTAAACTCAGGCCCGGGGGAGGTGTTATCAAAGATAATGACTTTTTTTTTTTTCAAAGAAAGAACAAAGGCCCTATCTTAGTCCAGGCCAATTTGGCGGTAGGAGGATGACTCGATGACCCGGAACATGATTAATGAATGCAGATGCCCTCTTATGAATCAATGACGTGGATGTGAAATATGTGGCAATATAAAAACTGACTTGTTCTAGAATGATTCTGAAATGATTGATTCAAGTGACTGGAGTTTAGTTCCAAAGCAATGAGTCAATGAGTGAATCGCTTGTTGACAAACATGTCATGTCCATTATTTTTCACGAGCTGCTCGAGTATTGGTATCATCAAATCACAGAGAGCATAGTTTGAGGATCATCTGATGAATAATAAACGCTAAAGACTGTTTATGTATCTTGCATAAATCCAAAATAAATATTGAGTCAGGTACGCCTCGCGTAGAGATCATGTCCACTTGATGCAACATTCGTTACCTTAGTTTGCGGCGCATTTCTGGTTTGCTAATGGTCAAACGACTGCCGTTTTATGCTTCACATCCAATCTAAATGTTCCAAAGTCTTATGTGTCTTCATGAAGTAACAACTTTCCACCTGTAGCTCTTTATGACATGAGAAGCAACAAAAAATTCCGCATTTTTCAAGAGTGACGTTTGTTCTTTGAAGTGACCTATTTTATTTTTGCTCTATCTCATATTTGACATGCTACTACCCACTTAAATTAGTAATATATCTGTTAGGGTTTTGGCCGAACACCAGACATGGAATATCCTCGGCACGTATACATGCGACTGGAACCGGGTAATCGAGCAAGTGAGCCTTCTAATAATTTTGCGCAAGCAATATTATCAGCTCCAGCAGCTCCCACAAAGGTAGGTGGGGTTAGCGCCATGGTGAGACAGAGATGAGATTTATAACAGGTTGGGCAAAAGCCCATTCCTGTATAGCGAGTCTAATGGGAGTTATCAATGACTGTAGACCGCTTCTTGGCGGGGTGCTAGTTTCAACTATCAAGTATACCACCACACAAGCCTGTCGATCCAAACCCCCACCCTCCTTTTTGGTGTAGACTGAATGTGGAATGATACAAGAGGGGCAAATTTACTCCAGCTGGTGAAAATGTAAAGGGCTCTGCGTTGCACCGTAAGTGCACAAGGGTGTATAATTTAAAGACACAATAGCACCTTCAAGGATATGAATCGCAGTGCAATATGGTTCTCCTCCATTCGACTTCTCATCCTCTCAGCTTGTGCTCACGTTGCACTCATAACACTTTTTTGGGAGGCCCGATTAATCTCAACCGGGCAATCGTTGACCACACACAATATCATCTGTCACCCTCGTACCCTTTAAAAACCATGCACCGATAGTAGCTTTCACCCAATTGAGAACCACCAAAGACTAGAGGGCTTGAACCCCCCGGAAAACAGGACTGGATGAAAAATAAATAAACCAGGTTGAGGAAATAAAAAGGACCCGGATAACCCTGTCTTCTATCTCCCCTGTATAGTTCTTCCAGGAATCCATCTGCCACCCTCCCGCATTCCAGAACGCATCATTCCTATGCTGGAGAAGTGTAGTGATACGAAAATCCGGTCATTTTGATAGCCGATCCGTGGAATTTCGGGTACTGGTTCGTGACGCAAGCACCGGAAGAAAAAAAAAAAGTCGGTCGGAATATAAAAGGGAAGATAGAAAGGGAAGGCAGGAAAGCACATTGATAGACGTTACACGGGATCGCAAGAAACTTGCAGGAAAATTTTACACTTACATAAAGCCTCCGTACCTTCTTACTGCCTTCAGTTTTCTCCTTGTTTCGATGGGCTGGGCTTCCATTATTGATCTAGACGAAACCTTCTCATAGGCGAATTTGGCAAGGCCAACAAAATCAATTTGAAAGATCGTATGGGGAGAGATGGTCACTCCCGTCCCGCCAATTCTCGCCCCCCCCCCTTTTTTTTTCCTTAGCCAAACAAGATAGCTTGTCCCCTTTCTTCCTCCCTCCCCCCCGTCGAATATATGGCCCCAATCCGGGTGGATCAGATATCCTGTGGAGTGACTGAAGTTGGGTACTTAATTGTTGAAGGATACTCAGTACATCACAAATAACGCATTTTCGAATTTGCTTCAATTCATGCTTTTGGTGAGCACTCTCCTATTCCTGTGAAATGATCAATTTTTGTTTCATGTGACGCACATAGCTGTGTTTCCATTTTAAAGGCTTTCCTTTCATTGCCTTCCCTTATGCTGGGAAATGTCACATTTTCATATTTTCCTTTATTGTCACATCATTGATGTGACAATAAAGGAAAATATGAAAATTTGACAGGTAGAAGCATGAACAACTTTCACCAGACTGAAAATTTCAAATGGGTTCCTTACTCCCATATGGCACTTTCTGCTGCTCAAATCTTGAATTACAGCAGGGGAAACAGAGAGACTTTTCCCATATCTGAACAGGCAGCCAACATCTTTGGGTGAAGATTAAGAATGATCAATAGAAGGTTAACAATACCTCTTAAATACAATTACTTGATTCAAAATTGACACATCTTCCCATACAGAATGATCACATATGGCAGTTATAAGCAGTTGTGTCATACATATTTATATGATTTCCAAGTATTGATGTAGGAAGTTGCAACTATGAAAGCATATATGGTCATAGCATACGAGTGACTCATTCATACATTAACACATTTGCAGACAAGACAGCTATAGCCATCACTTGCCACACCTAATATTAGGACAAGGCAACTGCAGCCATCATAGTAATCTTGTCTTCCTTAAGCAAGACAGTGATAGTCATAGTCAATTACACACACATCCTATTCCGTTTTCCAGCATGAAAGTGATCAAAAGAAAGTCAAATGTATCAATGAACTGCTTGAGAGTATCAAAAACAACATGAGGAAGGTCTGATGCATCACAGGCGATGTCGAACTATAAAGAAAAGCATGTTCAATATAAAGAAGCCAAATGCAACAGATACACAAGGTATTCCATACCCTTATTTGGGGGATGCCTTCCCATTGCATTTTCACAATGTGCAGCTTCAGGTACATTTGCATATGGTGTTCCTATTGCAAATAATACTATTTGGCAATTATAAGGATTAGTCCTAGGAATATGCTACCACCATGCTGCTCCACTGCAGTGAAGGTAGCCAGGAAACTGCCATGATAAATTCATCTAAGAAAAAATTTATTTTATTGCTGGGTTTAATTAGACCCCACAACACCAGTTACACTATGAAAATTACACAATGAAAAAAACAAGAATACCAGTTGAAAGTTAAGGTAAGTCCCATATCTTTCTCTCAGTTTATTCATAAGTGAAATCTGACCTCCAGCCCCAAATGATTGGTAGTGGCATTTTCCTATGACTAACCCTGACATATCAGTAATTGCCAAATAAGATTAATTGCTAAAGGCACATCATATGTATATGCACCTGAAACTGCATGTTGTGAAAATGCAATGAGAAGGCATTCCTCTTAACATGGGGTAGGGTATACTTTGTGCATCTATCGCATTTGACTCTCCTAAGGTCGAGCATGTTTTTCCATAAAATTCTACATTCACCACAGTGACACATTTGACTTCCCTTATGTCGCTTTTGACACTCCCAAGCAGTACAGCAACACATTTGAATTTCCTTGTTAAATTTGACTTTCTTGTTACCACATTTGACCTAGAAAACCTATAAGGTTGTTGGTGTCCCAGTAGAGAGACTATGTCTGTGATTTGTATGTCATTTACATAGTTTATGGTCTGTGATTAGTATGATTATCTCAAGGGGAGGGGCCCCAAGGTGGTTCTTGTTTTGTGTCATCAGTGGTAATACAGATATGCAATTGGATCTGCTGTATTATGAGTGATTTTACCTTTTTTCATTTTTGCCTTGAGTTATTCAATCATGTAGTCAGTGTTTCCTCTTTTTAGGAAAATTACTTTTATTGAAAAAAGTTCTATCACAATACTACTCTAGACATGCTATCACCTCAACACTCCCAGATATAATTAAAAAAAACACATCACCTTGCTCCTCCAAACGATACCCATCCCACACCTTCCTTCTGGTATCTAACCTACACCTTCCCTGTAGAAGTGCAGCTGACTTAACCTTTTAAAGGGTCCTGAAAAGTTTACAAACCATTTGTCATTACAGGGCATTTTCCTTTGAAATTTCTACTCCGTGTGAACCTTAAAAATGTCTTAGTACACTTCCCAAAATGTTTTATATTTAAAATATTTGAAATCACTGTGTGATGAATGCAACTTATCAAGTGGGATTGACATTTTAAAATAATTTATTTTCATGTCCCAGAGTTTTGCCTTATAAAAGGTTAATTTGGCAAGTTTTTATGTTGAGCCTAAATGAAATACAGCAGTGTTTTAGGGGCTTTGAATGATATAAACTGCTTGTAAATGTGTTAAAACATATCTGAGCAACATACAATTTCTACATACATTTCTACATAAATCATCAGGTTCAAGGGATGAGCTCCTGCATGTAAGATTATGTACCTGGTTGAACTATGTGATATTTTATCAATAAGTGTTTGAGCTACCTAACCTACCTTTACCTATATATGTCTATATTTTCCAAATATAGGCTTTTCTTTTTAACCCCTGTATACCATGTTCCATCACAGCAACTGTACTAACAAAATTTGCAGAAGCTGAAGTGTCTGACATTGCCTCAGCTCTCAATTAATAGATGGCAGAGCTGCAAGGGAGGAAGAATAGGAAGCAAAATTAATAAGCTAATGATCCCAAGATGAATACCTAATAGGGAACTGCATGAAGAATCTGAAGTGTTTACTTTCGTTTTTTGTTTATCCATCCCCAATTGATAGTGTAACTTGCACAACTTGATGAATCTTGACTTCTAGTTGGAAGCACAATTTCAAACTAAAATGGACATTTTTGTTCACTTATTAGGGTAGCAGACCTACTTCAATGCAACTTTTTCCATCTCTATTCCTCCCAAAAACCAAACTGAATATACAAATGTTGACTGGGCAAATATCGCATTCATTGAGATAAATATGCATAATTATGCTAATGAGGTCCAATATGGCCACCAGAGTGCAAAAAAAATTAAATTGTTTTCAAACAGTTTTTGTCACAGATGGTTTACATATATTTTATGGAATTGAAAAGTGTTTTAGTTTGAATCCTTACAAATGTCCAGAAGGAAACAGTTTTTCAAGAAATAGGTGAATTTTTTCAATTTTCTATTTTTAGGGATTTTTGTGACCTAATTACACATTCAATGGTACTAAAAAGTGCTGAAGGATTGGGTAAATGCAAAAAGCTACCACCATTCCTTGAAGGAATATTCAAGGTAGCTCTCAGCCAAAAATGAAGGATATGGGTGTATCATATGAGAAGTTATGCTGTACAGAGCAGCATCTGTCAGCTTAAAAAAGCGGTAACAAGAAAATCATGACCAGGTTGCCAGGGACAACAGATTAGGGACATTGTTAACATATTAAGCTAATTAACCATTATTTTATATTTTCAGGTTTTTATGGTGATATGAATCTGCACAAGTTGGAGTATGATGATATCTGATTTCCATGTAAACTTTTTTTTTCAAAAATGACAATTCTAAAGTTGGTCTGCTACCTTAAAGTATGTTTTCATTTGTAGCATAAGCAGGTGTTTTTTGTATTTTCAATGTCATTGAAGTGACAAAAGAAATGCCACTTCTCAGCATAGTTCCTGAGGTCATTTTTGACCTTTGAACAAGATTTCTGATGATGAAATAATATTGTATGTGTGTCATACCTGATCTGGGCATGTCTCCCAACAGGCATGATATCCATGCCTCTCCATATACAAAATATACATACCAAAATCATATAAATATCTTATATGCTGCTCCATACCTTTGAAATACAAGCCTTTCATCAGTTTATATATGGCCCTGCCATATATGATCTCAGTATTGTGTTTCAATGGGAAGATATGATGGGCCATACATGTAACATATATCACAAATGCATCCTTCTCATAAATTAATAAATATGATTTTTCTGTAATTGCCTCAATTTTGAACCAATTTTCTTTTAATTCTCAAATCCCTTATTGAAAGAATCTAACTTAGGATGAGTAATGCATAATTAGCCCACAATTATCATCCTGACAAAACCTGTACATGATGCACTATAGTTGTGCAATGAAGAAATATGAGAAAACAATTTCACAATTCCTACAATGGACCCAAGAGAGTTGTTTATAGGGACCTACTATTATCCTTAAGAGAAACTTTGCTGAAAATTATTTAATACTCTAAACAGTGAAACTTTCTAATGATGAATATTATCAAAATAATGTACATAATTAGGTCTGAAAGCAAAGTGCCCCATTGGGAAAATCATGGCTGGGAGACAAATGTTACTTTTAACTTGAAGGATGTTTGTGGAATATAATTGAGACAAAGTCGCTTGGTTTGAAAAGAGAGAGCTGGTAGGGCCCTGTATGCAAATGTGTTGAGGTATGAAGGCACAATGATGCACCTGCAAGTAGCATAGAAAAGTGTGATGTCTATGGACCACAGCATAGATCTGATGCATTTTTATCACTTGTTGAAAGATTCTCAGAGCTGCTGTCCAAAATGGCAGCCCTCGTTGAGAATGGTGGGATGAACATTGAGCAAGTACTTTGGTTGCACCTCCTACAACCATTATTCCAAGCCATATGACTTCATCTTGAAACCACAAACATGTGACCCCACTGAAACATGAGAAGATTTTAGGATGCAATAGGAAAACAAGAAAGTTAGTTTTCAAGCAGGGAAGGGTCTAATCCCAACACAAGTATAATCTCATCATATTTATAGACACTTTCTATCTATCAGTGATGGCATACTTCATCTGAATTTGCATCTGAATTGGCCATTCATAGAACATGGGAATCTCAACAACGGCAACATCTGATGACAGGCAGATTCTTATGGAAAAAGCAAATGGCGAATTCTCCCAGGAGTAAGCCACCATGGAATGTCAAACACTGGTAGCATTTCATGTCAAGCACTAGTAGCACACTTCAGGAAAAACTTCAACAAGATGTACAGGGTGTCCATAAAGTAACTTGACGTAACAATTTTTTTTCTCTTCGTCACCTGAAATTTTACGTTGCCATAGTCTTAAAGAGGACTAAATTCTTTATTTTTTGAGAAATTTGGGGGCTCAGAGAAAAAATTTGGGGGGGTTGGGCTCAGAGACAGTACTCCTAGTATTCCTTATTCTTCTGGCAAATTTTTTTGGAGGCTTGAGCCCCCTGAGCCCCTATGAATTGCCGCCTGTGTTTCTGCCACAGATTTTAACTCAAAATACCACTCGACGATCTTTATTCTTTGCAAGAAACTTAGCATATTTGGCAGTTATAAAAAAAAATTAGTTTTTCAGGTACCTGGGATGGAGAAAAATGAATATTATTAGTAATATTCATTTAATACTAATACTAATAATAATTTAACACTAATAATATTCATTTTTCTCCATCCCAGGAACCTGAAAAACTAATTTTTTTTTTTAACTGCCAAAAATGCTAAGTTTCTCACAAAGAATAAAGATCGTTGAGTGGTATTTTGAGTTAAAATCTGTGGCAGAAACACAGGCGGCGATTCATAGGGGCTCAGGGGGCTCAAGCCTCCAAAAAAATTTGCCAGAAGAATAAGGAATACTAGGAGTACTGTCTCTGAGCCCAACCCCCCCAAATTTTTTCTCTGAGCCCCCAAATTTCTCAAAAAATCACCACCTATGGGCAGAAACACAAAAGAAGTTCAAACGCCATTACAAGACGTCCCAAGGGCCTTCTCACCCAGCCATTCATGATCTTGTTAGGAAGTTTCAGGAGACAGGGTCAGTTCAAGACCAACTGAAACAAGGTCGACCTTCAGGAGAACGAGGAAATGCTCTTTGCGAGAAACTGAGCATTTTCAGCAGTTGTCAAAAAATTAGTTTTTCAGGTACCTGGGATTAAGAAAAATGAGTATTATTTGTAGTCCGAAATAAAGAATTTAGTCCTTTTTTAAGACTATGGCAACGTAAAATTTCAGTTGGTGACGAGAAAAAAAATCATTAAGTTACTTTATGGACACCCTGTAGCATCAGGAGCCACAACTCATTCAGAACCTCCAAGTATTTTCCACCCAGCTGTCAAGATTTCTCTTCTATTCCCAAACACCCAATATTCTAAATTATATACAAAATTTATCAATTAAAACCACAAAATTTGCAGTTGAAGGTTTCAATTAAGACAATAAGAAGCATACTTGCTCATATTGATGTCAAATGACAAAGGCAATTACTCAGTTAAGACACCCCTCTAAATATAAACATTCTTCTGGAGTGTCACAACCAACAAGAGACTTAGACCTATAATGGATGGTTCACACAAAATATTTAAAACTTAACATGCTAGTAAACAGAACACCGTACGAGATATCGGCAGGAAATTTACAGGGCATCACATCTCACGTGAGAAAGTGCTTTCGCGAAAATTTCAAAAGCAAATTGATCTAGGTGAATCCAAGAAACAAATTTACCGAGAAACCCCGTAACCTGGCATGAATTTACGTAATCCTCCTCGTTAGCCTTCACTCCAGCAAATAAAACCTCTAAGAACCATATTTCCTTTTCCACGAGACATTGGACCCTTTTCTTACCTTACGCTTTAAAACTTTATTTTCAAGATAGGTCCCATTATTAAACAAATGCAGTTGCGGCGACAAAAGACAGACCTGGTTTCCCATTCATTTCAAAAGGTTTGAACACGGCAGCTGTGCGATGATAATTGAGAATTGTATTGAATCTTCGTTGGGGGTTGGGGGGGGGGGGGGGTGTTTTCGGTCTCATTAAGGGCGTTTCACATCCCAATTCCACACGCAAGCCTCGCGTTTCGTGAAATCCCTTGGAAGTAAGGGGACATGCGTGTCCATGCGAGAGTCGACCCACCTGTCCAAGCACTGACGCGAAGGACCCAAGACACGCAAAGTGTGAAACGCCCTTTATACTTGACACGTGTATTCATTAAGAAAACTTCCATCAATGAATCAAGGAATGGGAATGTGGTCAAATGGATTATGAAAAATATCTGCTTTGAAGTCACTATTTACTCTGACACAATCAAATCCAAGTTCATGTGTGCTGTAGGCGAAGTAGCACCCTACCTCGCCTGGAGTGCCTAGTGTACCCTATGGACTTCCCACTTCTGAGCTTCCGCATCGACTGCCTGCTTTAACTGGGGAAACCTGCCTACTTTCTTTACTTTCTTGACAGTTTTAAGACTCATTGCTGGAAGAGTGAACCTGAACTGAATATTCAGTCGGGTGACATCGTTGACCTGTAACACATATGGACTGAATATGTTATTGTTGGGCGAAGCGACGACTCCAATCTGCTGACCTCCCTAACGTCAGTTGGAATAAGAAATGGTTCAATACATACATTGGGTAGTCACATGAAGAATGAAATGGGATTCGCGGGTTAGGTTATCATGAGAGCAGCACGCTACGAATAAACACACATCCATCCCAGATAAGATTACGTTTCCTTCACCACATCTACATCTTGCGTTTACCAAAGATGTGCAATTGCGTAACGCGAGCTCGTATCTGTGAAAGAATAATAATACAGGAAACAGCAATACGATAAAGTAGGTTTATGAACCCAAAATCTTTCGCGAAAAACAAGCGTAACGGATCTGGAGGAAGGATGGTACGAACCCGACTAAAAACGAGGTCCCCGTTCGAATCGAGTAAACGACGCTTGGTGGAGTTGATTTGGAGACGATTGTGAGTCCAGGTGACGCTAAGTTGTCCATAAGCGGGGTCACCGGTGGCTCTGCAGGGGAGCCGAAGCACTGGCTCTTGTTCGCTATCCCCATTCCCCCGGGATCCACTACGAGGCACAGCGATGACCACACGCGGGGGGGCCACCACCCACTTCAACGATAGCTCCACTCCCGCTTCACTCCCAACACTTCCCCCCACTCTCCCCCCATCCTCATCCCACCCACTTTCACTGAACGCTTTCGATGCTCCCGCCACACCAACACATCCTGCAACACACGACATGGAAATAAACAATAGCATCAGCAGAGGAATGACTTAACCAATTACCTACTAACGCCCAAAAATGAGAAGGCTTGAAATTTGTCCTCACTGGGAGGCAAAAAATGCTACTGACGTAAGCATGGCTGCACCTCCTAGACGATTTCTTTGAGCGGCCTAAGCTTCTAGTAGCCCATGACGGCAAAAAAAGGAAAAATCCAATGTCATCAGGCATGAAAAAAAAAATATTTTAAGCTTTGCATTAATGTCATAAATGACATCGACTAAGACATAAAATAAGTGTAGCATGAAGCAGTTAAATATAAAAATTTAACATACACAATTGAATTACAGAGAATTTTATTTATTGCATTTCTGTGTTAAATCAAATAACAGCAGCATGGGCCATGTTTATGACATTTTTTAACTTCCTCGTGAAAAGTCAGTGGAAATTGGCTAAGGTTGAGCTAGAGGGAAAGAACGAGATGTTTTGTTCTTTCACATAAAATGTTCTAAATCCTTCAACGATAAGTTCTCGATTTTTTTTTAACCAAAAACCCAATCATTGCCTTCTTTCCTCGATGTGAAATGTTAAAGGTCTTCAACCTCCAACCACAAAAGCAAGCACAAGATTTCAAGTTTCCGCACTTCTGTAAGACGAGTCTTCCTTATGGTTTTTCTGAAAAAGAATGAAGTGCCGAGAAGATGGCCGGTTGAAGGAAAAAAAAAAGAGATACCGGTACCGGTATTTCCTGTCTGAAGGTTCTGCCGCTTGACTACCCCTGCAGCGATACAGCAGGCCTATTCATTGGTTGAGGAAACGATACCACACTGGTTTTTTTTTTCTTTAACTTGAGTATTGAGGGGCCTGATCAAGGCAGCAATGCATCTATAACATTTTTCCGGCCGATGAAAAATGTATTTCATAGCAACGGTACCATCGAACTTAGTTTTACCGTAAACCTGACTGCTGTCCTCATGTCTTCACCAGCATAAGGGTCATTCCCAACGTTTCCACGAATTTCTCTCCACTACTTTCCCTTCACATTCAAAACCCACAAAGGGGATCAGGAATGGAATCTAAGGGTTCCTGGAACGAGAAGCGGGTGAGAGAGGTTGAAATCGGACTAGGAGTGGGCGTCGCTTGCCTCAAGGCAAGATCTTCTTGCCGGCAATAAGATTCGACAACCCTGTCTCGTGACGTCACACGGCTTGGTTCCCAATTCATCAATGGAGGGACCAAGAGGGGCCGCCGTGCCCCCCTCCCTCTCGCATTTTTTCGATGATAAGACGAGCGCGAGAAGGCTATGAATGAAAGCAACTCGATGGCGGAAAGACGTATTGCGGGATATGGAGACACGGTAGAAGCTAGGAAGGCAAAAGAAGGAGAGCAGCCATGACGTGCGTTCCTCATCATTAAAGCGCATTCCCCATCCCTCAGCTTCCCCCGGCCTCGTGTGAATGAACCACTTCTTGGATGACTGACTTCCCCTTCCACGTTTTCTAGCCTTTTCCTTCTCGCATTCCCCTTCCACTTCACGACTCTTCCACTCAAACGGGTACTTCAAACGGGTAAATCGCATTCTCTGTCCTTAGATTTCTAGTTATCCCGGGGAAGGGCAATGAGTCTTTAACGAGGAAGGTAACTGGCCATGTCAAAACAGCACTCACGCAGGGCTCCTTACTACAAGGCGTAGAAGTCCTTTCAATCGAAGGTAATGAAGGAAGCGGGAAAAAAGGGGGGAATCTCACGTGCTGCCAGGCCGAGGGGACAGTCCATTCGTCTTAATTAGCGTGCGTGAATGCGTCTAATTACCACGGACGTAATTAATGACATCCCTGAGCAAAGGAAGCATGTAGGGTGAGACGGGACTGTTGTGGGGTGGATTGAAGCAGAAGCAAGCAAAACCAAACGGCACCTGTTGAAGGAACGCCTCCCTGAGGGCGGCGTCATTGACTTTTCCTTCCTTCCCACAATCTCCCGTCACGTACTGGCTCCAGTACTTGGTACTTGGTTCCCAACATGTTTTTATCGCCTTTCTCTCACACTTTTTTGTCTTCGCCAGTCTAGAGCTTATCATGGTACTTTCTCCCCTGCAATTAGGAGTCATAGGATCTGCTGGGGAGCAGGGTCTGGGCATTTCCGGCCCTTGGGAATCCACCCTTGCCGCACGAACACACTACTTACAGCGGAATGCAAAAACACAAGAAAAGGGAGATAGTAGCGACGCCACTTGGAGAAGCAGAAATGGAACTGTTTCCATGCCCTTAATGTTTGATGCCTGATCGAGCGGTCAATCGTCACGGGTTTTCAAAAATAAAATTTTAAAAAGGAACTGTAAACCTCCCCTTTGAGTCGCTCTGACATTCGGGAATATTTCCGGCAACAGCCCAAGCCTGTTTATTATTATTATTATTATTACAATTTTAAGGAAAAGCAGTAGAACATGTAAAGGTGCAGAAGGCTGCACGTTTCATCCATGCCAGGATATCATTGAGGGAAGGATGAAAACAGATCTAGGATATGGTGATAATAAGGCAGTTGGTAGAATGATGAGTGGATCCTCTGAGGACCACGTATCTCACACAATACTGATTAACGAGAGAATCACTATTGAAAACTACCGGAAGTGGTATCAAATCGCGAAGGAATTGATGGGTCGAAATAGGCCGAAGCGGTAGAGCTATACATGTTCACGAAGAATAAGTATTATGAGAAAGCAAGAGAGACGGGAATAACAACCGAGTACAAGTGGCATAGGGAAAACAGATACGCTATACAGTGACGAGCTGAGACCCACCCATATGCCCCCTGCATCGTTTCCATATGGCTCCTCCTGTCTAGGGAAGTTCTCACAAACCCAGAGTTTCATTTTACAGCGCATACAGGCCTCTCAAACCATCAACCACTATCCATACTATCCTTTAGTGGCCACCAGTAGCAGCACGAATAGCTTGACGTGAATAGCTTTCGAAGGTTTAAAAAAATTAGCTCCTGCATCTCGAACAATGTAGAACGCCAATGCGGTTCCCCATTGCCCTATTCAAGGAATCCAAATGTCACAAATAAAACTATTATTTTTCATTTTTGATGGAAAGTGTAACAATTGTGCAGAAATTGGTCCCATTTTAGTGTGTAGCAAAACCTGAAATGTCGCTCAATTTTGTCAACAAGGTGAGCCATAACATCTCATACAAACACTTCTGGTTCGCGTGTTTTGAGACACGGAAGTAGAAGGACTCAGAGAATATGGAATAATGCAACTTAAAATTCAAATAAAAAATATAAAAATTACAAAAACTCCGCCTTTAGCCTTCACACAGACTGACAACCTTCCTTGCCGCCCATGGATCGCAGAACACGCTCCATTCACGGGGAGATTGTTTCAAGCTTATCCGCACTTTCATATATCCAACAAGTTTTTTACGTGCGAACAGAAGGTGGTCGGCCAGTATGTTTGCTTTCATTGACAGCCCTCATCTCATGATAACGTCCAAGAGTACGATAGGCTACGTCCCTCCACAGCAATGGAGTTGCCGAAAGATGCTCCCTGGGCTCTGGCCACTCTTGAAAAAGCTCGATTAAAGCTTCATGCTTCAACATCATGGCATCCTGAGCTCAAATCGGAAAGAAGCGCAAGATTTAACTTTCGTCAAAGCATATATTACACGTTGCTTGGAACGAATGAGCCAATAATAGATTGAGTTACAAATATTTATAATCCTACTTCTATTGAGTATGGTATGAGATATTATGGCTCACCCTGCATAGGAAGGTAGCAATCAATGTTTGAAACCCTGTACACTCCTTTTTGGCAAGGGGCTTGGCCTTCACAGCAAGACCTAACCTTTCAGGCAGGCCTCCTTCGGAAATGAGTTTATACCAGGTCAACCTATAGATCCTCTCCAAGCGAACGTACACGGACGGAGCCTGTAGATGGATCACAGGAGCGGCCATTGCTCCGACGTAGGAACATTTGCTGTCAATACTGTCACCTTACATTTGTCACGCAACGACAGTGAGTCAGTGATAACACAGAAAGGCAGCACTGCCATCTGGGCAATTTCAATCGACAATATCATTCAATATCGTCGTACCGATATATGATCTTGTATCGATTTTACGGTGAATTGCGATTATCATTTTAATATCGGGTGGTGCAAAAAAAAACGCGACCTATCTGAGACCTTATGAAATCGACGGGCGGAATTCCATGTTGTTTTTTGCATAACATTGAAAACACTACACAATTTGTTTCCTGAAAGTTTCAAGTGTCTGGGTTCTTTGAATAACGAGCGACAGTTGTTCAAAGAACAGTAATAAAATATCAGTTTTCCTCAAATGAGGTGAATGCAGACTCAACAGCTGCCAAAAGATTTCACTCCTTGAGCCATGAAAACTGCTTTTCATGTTGTGTCCTCGTCTCAGTATTCTTGATTGTGTCATGTCTTTAGGCCCCAGGTGAGAAGGTAAGGCCTGAATTTGATGACGTGTTAAAAGCATAAGCACTGGAGAGGGAAAAGAATGGTGGGAGTTTCTAAACCTTATCAATCAAAACATGGACTCGCTTCTGTGGAGTCTCTTCCTTCCCAGGCCTCTTTTAAGAACAACCCATTAACGCCGTGACTTTTCTTTTAATAAATACACGATGGAACCGCACAGTAAACGGCTTGTAATAAAAATGCTGCCATAACAAGCTAGCGTTCTGGCGAAAAAAATAGGAAGTATCTGCAGATTACAGCTGATACCGCTGCTTACTGATGCGCAGAAAGCGGAAATTTCTTATCGGAGTTTCAACGATTGTTGCTCTTGACCCGAACAATCTTGAGACTTCAAAACTCCAATTATACAAATTTTAGAATGTTTTCTGTGTGATGCAAATTATTCACAAATCTAGCATTTTTACAAGTTATATGAGACCGCAAACAAGGAGCTTTTTTTTTTTTTTTGGCACCACCCGGTAGTATGTACATGGCAACAAGGCAAGGCTGCTGTTTTGAAGAGAGCGGCTTTCTGTACGTGAAACACTTGTTTTTCTTATCGTGAAAAGTGCAAAAACTGACTAGATCTTCCACATCTGCGAAAACAGTTGACACCCGCTGGAGAATCCGAATCGCATTTCTATATCTCGATGGGCTTGATCCACGGAGAAGGTGTTCCTGTCATCCCCAGCGATGGCAAGCTTAGGCCTATCGAGGAGGGGGAGCTTCGGCGACATCTTTTACACTCACCGAAACTAGTTTTTCAATTATAGTGCCACAAGTGCGAAGTTCATAATCCCTCTTCTTTCCGCCTAAAAACGTTATATACAAAATAAAAAAAGGGAATTATAAATATATTTCCCTTCTTCACATGAATGTGTGAGAATTTCTTCACCGTCAATTTGGAATGATTTTGTCAATTACGGATTTCCGAAAGGGACCTAACACTCAACGCTGGCACCCCTAGAGGGCATTCCCATGCCTGACTCAACTGGCCTCGTCTTCATGTAACACAACATAAGCAATTCTTCCCCACTTTTTCCAAGTTTATTGCCCTCGCATACCGAAGCAACGGAACATTCAGCATGACGCAAAATACACTCAGAATTCAACAAATCATCGTTCTACCAAAGGGCCTAGGTCTAAAGGTAAAGCTTCTACAAGTCCAGGTATGGCAAATCTGCTGCTCCAAGGCCTACAGTGAATCTAATTTGTCCCGTGTAGGCTTAGCCTGGGCTTAGTCTAGCCTGACGTTGAAACTCACCGAGGTAGGAGAAGATGAGGAGGGGAAGCGTGGATGTCAACCACCGGTAGGAAGGAAAGAATGGCGCCATAAATCGCAAGACATTGAGGAATAAGGCGTCATTACTCGTTCTTGTGACTTGTTTTCCTCTCTCACTCCCACATGGCCAAGTCCCACTCTCCCTCGAACGCCAGGAGATTGATACTGGGGTAAAAGCAAGAGTGAAGGCGAGGGAGCTAGTCAGCCTTCGCCATTCTCACGGCTCTGTCGCTCTTCTCTCCCCTAGCCTCACTCCCGCCTCCCCTAGCAGTGTGTATGGGTGTGTGAGTGAGAAAAAGAGTGGGAGAGGCTAGGCCGAATCCTCGCGCCAAATCCTTCTTCCTTCATCTCTTCCGTTCCTGCCTTTCCTCTTTTCGCTCTTGTTAAATGGGAAAGAAATGGACTACAAAACGACTCATTAGTTCCGGCACTTGCTCAGATTCCACGCCGTAGTACGATAAGGTACGGCGCATGCGTCACTCTCTCCCCCTTCACCCATAATTCACCTCTAATTAAATAATTACAGCACTAGCCGTGAAAAAATGCGCTGGTTGAATCGAATTATAGTAGGGCGAATTCAATTGAAGGAATTCAATGGTCACGGAGGAAAATTTGCGGCGGCTTCTCTTTTTGCTTTCTCTTGACTGTGATACGAACGCTGTTGCAAGGAGGCTGATGACCCAAACTCCGCATGCCAGTGGCGTAGCGAGGGGGGGGCTGGGGGGGGGGGCTGAAGCCCCCCCCAAGTTTGGTTCAAG